GAAATTCACGTTTCGAGTCCTCTCTCCTTGGGGGACATCCCAGTCATGTCATAAAAAGTGGTGGCTCAGTGGCTTAATAACACTAGGAATGATTTCAGCTCTGGCAGTTCGAACCCTTTCAATGTGTGACAGGGTGAGCTCCTGTCGCTGGCCTCAGCTTTTGTTCCCCTAACTCTTCAAAAGCATGTTCTGTGCAAGTAGATAGATAGGTACCACTTTGGTGGAGAGATGAGCTGATGCTCTTTGCAGGCAGTCAGATTCCTGATAGGTCTGAACCTTCCCAATTGTGGCACCTACTTGCGAGGCAGCTCTAGGAAGGGTAACGCTGCCTTGGGTAACGCTGCAGGAAAAAGCCCTCGTTTTTTTCTCTGGTGTGAAGCCAGCTTGCCCTCCTGTGGCGCACCTTGGGAAGTGCGCAAGTGCATCCTATAACAGCTGGTACCTTGGCAAGCCAAACAACCACTCTGTAATAGCATTTTGATCTCCTGGCCAATGTAACAACACCATATGTTAATAATTATAACAGCCATGTCCTCTTTCGCTGAACAAAGGGAGAGAGAAAAAACTTGTCTTCCTAGCATTGATGTGTATGAATCCATGCAATGTTCTCAGCCTATGCTCTACTCCAAAGACAAGACTGCCCAAACCAATAGATAGAGATTCTTGTAGATACTAATTCATAGTTAGGACCTCTCTATTTCTTGGACTTTTTCCCCCTCTTTCAGATGGCACAGTTCATGGAAATAGGTTTTCATCTTGCTTTGGTGTGCTTCAGTGAAAGCAGGCCCTTTCGTCCATCAACTGTGCTCCTATCCACATTGTTCAGTGTGTGATGCAAATAGAACATAACAAATGTTGCATTGCTGTCTCCCCCCCCCCCCCCCCATAGCAGTTCTCAATCAAGCTAATGAAAGAGAACTTACTCTCAAAATTCCTTCCAGTGAATAAAACTTTCATAGAGGGTCTTCTAAGTGGAAATAAGTTATTTTTCAGTGGTTAGATTACCAAGGCATGTGTGTGTGTGAGAGAGAGAGAGAGAGACAGAGAGAGAGAGGGAGGGAGGGAGGGAGGGAGG